TCTCCTTGTTTCCGTATCGACGCCCCGGCCCCGATCGGTGCTGGCTCCCCCGTTCCGCTCCCGGGGGTGGGGAGGGCGCCCACACGTGAGATCCCCAGGGATCCCCCGTCGCCTGCTCCCGAAGGTGGACGAGGGCTGGCCGGGGCGCCGCCGGCCGCGATTCGTCCCCACCCTTGTTTCTGCGGGCTCCTACCCCCTCCCTCGCTGCCCTTCTCGCTTCCGCCCGAGATAATGACTCGGCGACGGCGGCGGCGGGCATCGCAGTGGCGCAGGTGAGGCCGCCTCCTCCCCTCTTCCTCTGCTGCCCTTTCCTTCCCCTCCCCCGCTTTCCCTCCCCCTCGCGCAGCCTCCGCGCTGGGCGCTGCGGTGGCGGGACCCGGCCCTCCCCCACCCCGGGAGGCGGCAGCGCGGCGGGGAGGGGCTGGGGGCCTCGGGGACACAGGCGGGAGGGAAGGGCCTGGCCGAGAGCTGATCGGAGCCCAGGGCCGGCCCGGCGGCGCCCGCCAGTAGAACCGGGCGAGGCCGCGAGCCGGCGGAAGGGGAGCCCACCGCGGGGTGAGGTTTTGGGGTGGGGCTCGCCTGGGACCTAGAGCTGAATTTCCTGGGCTCCGCGGTGGGGGGGAGGGCTTGAATTTTCTTGGTGGGGGTGGGGGATGGGGCTGACTTTCTTTCCTCCTTATGAACCGTCAGGGAAGGCGCGGACTGGCGCTGTGAGCCCAGGATGCGGTAGAGAGCGGGGTGGGGATCCCGCGATTTGCTCTCGTGCTGGAGCAACTAGAACTGGAGGGTCCCTCCGCCGCTTTGGGGACGCACATCCTGCTTTGGGGGCGGGTAAGCATGAGCAGAGCTGCCGCTGGTGGCCCGCTCGGCTGGGTGTGGCTCTCGTCCCCTCCCCCACCTGCAGCTGTCGGGCCCTTAGAGACGGTGTACGCAGGCACTGGCGCTAATCGGTGGCGGGGAAAGCGCTGGGTGGGAGAGCGGGGTGTGTCCGCGACGGGGCTGGTAGTGGTTCCGCTTCTGCGGGCGTCTCTGTAGTCTCTGCCCCCGGGTCGGGCGGCTTCGCTCCCCCCACGGCTTGAGCGGGGGCGGGGGCGCGGGCTGCTCCTCCCCCTGGCTCCGGTTGGGGGGGGAATTAACACTCAGCAGTAGGTTGGGCTCCCTGACATAGATCCGCCATGACAAAGGAGGAGAGTCGGGGACTTGAGCGGAGGCTCGGGCTTGGGCGGAGCCTGGAGGGGGGTGGTTGCGGATACGCGGACCCGAGGATTTGCACTTTAAAGTCCGGGTCTGCCCGCTTTCGTTTCACCCTAACCGACGTCTCAAGTCAGGTAAGGGTTAAATGGGTGCGGTGAGTCCGCCCGCAGTGTAGAGGCGAGGCCTTGGAGCAATCGTTACTGTGTGAGAAACCTTATCCACTTCCTCTTGTACCCAAGTGGTGGGGGAGAGAATCCTTTGTACTGGTTTTAAATCATTTTTCGTTAGAAGCAGAATTAACCAGAGAGCATTTCTCAGTTCTTAAGGGAAAAATTAATAATATAGAGATCTGAGGAAAACCATGTCGTCATAAAGGTTAAATAGTTTATGTGTGAGCCAATACCTTGCATCCAAATTAGCTAGTTACTTGCTTAAAATGTGAGGACATGTTCTCTTATTTGGTTAAAAAAGTATTGTGGGATTTCCCTGGGAAGGTAAAAGATAATTAATATTGGGGAGTCAGCTCCCAAGGTGGGTGGGTGATAATAGCTCTTCTGTTCACCTTCTAATTTAAAAGATACACTTCATGTGTATATTTTCCTCTAAAGTCGTTTTCTGTGGTCTCACCGTGTGGATTAGTATCTTTGTGCTGTTTAACAACTTCGAAAAGGATGTCTTTCCAGAAAAATGTAGCTGAGGTAAACTGAAAAGGTCTAGGAAACTGTAAGTGCGAGGGAAAAAGAATTAGGGGGGTAGTCACGGTAAAGGACAGCTTGAGTGATAACATCCAATTATTGTGACGGTGACGGCTGGAAGCAAAATGCGGCACTTATACATTGCAACTGGAGCCATGACATTGGAAACACTTGTAAATTAAGTACTTCCAATGTGATGTATTTTAGTACTAACAGTAGGAGTTGAAGGGCCATGACTCGTGGGTATTTTTAAAGCATGTGGACATACAACACGATAAAGAGTTGAAGCATTAGGGTTAGTCACATGTTGGTCCTTTGTGGTGGCTTTACACTAAAAATATCTGAGAACAAGCAGTTTGGCTATTCCTCCCCCAAATTGTTATGCTATGATCGGCTGGCAAATGTTGCAGAGATCTAGTAGATTTGGAGTGAGGGTAAAACTAAAATTTAATCACTCCTTGTTATGAAAGTAAAAACATGAATTACATTAAACTGACATGAATTATGATTCTGGAAGTATGATAGGAATCCAGATGTTCTGTAAGCAGTGCGTTTACAAAAGGAAGAAAAGCTGCTTAATTTTGTGTATCACTTAGTGGTATTGGAATTGAGTTGAGATTTTGGTCAAGTAAGATTAGGGCGGTAAATTTTAAGGCAGCTTTTTGAAGTGCTTTTGACCTTATGTGAGATGTGGATCTTCTGAATTGAAATGAGATAATGAAATTTTAGTTTTGCTACACTGATGTTGTTAATGGCTGTAAGTTTACCTCTGATGCTGAGTATGCTAAAATTTTTTTCCCTTTTCTGACTATCCTTTTGTGATGCTGCATTTTAATCATGTGAACAATCTTCCACAGGCAATTGTGTTTCAGGTTTTAATAAGGCTTACTTACCACAGGTATAATTTTGACTCTCTTTATTTTGATGGGAAAAATTTTAAATACTCCTTTTTTCCCCCCTGCAGAACATTCAGTCATGGATAAAAATGAGCTGGTTCAGAAGGCCAAACTGGCCGAGCAGGCTGAGCGATATGATGACATGGCAGCCTGCATGAAGTCTGTAACTGAGCAAGGAGCTGAATTATCCAATGAGGAGAGGAATCTTCTCTCAGTTGCTTATAAAAATGTTGTAGGAGCCCGTAGGTCATCTTGGAGGGTCGTCTCAAGTATTGAACAAAAGACGGAAGGTGCTGAGAAAAAACAGCAGATGGCTCGAGAATACAGAGAGAAAATTGAGACGGAGCTAAGAGATATCTGCAATGATGTACTGGTGAGAATTACCCATTCAGTCTGGCTTCATTATACTGTAGGGGTCCTATGAGTATCAGTTACATTACTCTCAACTTTTTCTTTGGTTTTTCTTTTCCTTCTAACATTGTGTGTTGCAAATTTAGAAGTCTTCATGGTGTCATGACTAAAAAGATATTAATACAATTATAGATATGTTTATGTAGAATAATTGCAACAATGATTATGAAACAGTTGTTTTGTTAAAAATAATAGACTTTAGTATTCTATTTTATATTAATTGAAAAGATAAACTAATAGTATTACTGTTTTTCTTATGGTTAGAATATTTGTAGTAGCTCTGTAGCTGATTATCTTAAATGTACATCTATGGATAAAGGGATTTTGCATATTTTATGTAAGAGAGATGTAATAGGATACTCACTGTAGAAATAGTTCTCTTTGGATTAGCCGCTATAATGTTAATGTAATGAGTCAGCCATGCTGAAAACTGGCCTCACAACTATAAAGCCTCTTCCTGCATTGAATTGTTGAAAGTAAATTTTGAATACTCAACAACCATGATGAAAGGTTATGGATAACTCAAAGCTTGACTTTCCAGTTTCAATCAAGTATTTTAAGTATTCAGTACTTAACTGTGTTGAAGCACTGTACTTAAAAGAATTAAACTAAATTTTGGTTAATTTTAATCTGTCATACAAAAGCAAGGCTTTTTGATCAAGAATAGTTTAAATTTGAGGATAAACTAGTAGAAAATCCAACCAAGCTGGCAGTTTTTGGAATAATGTTTAAAGTGGTTTTACTAAGTGGTTACCCTTACCAGTATGGCAGGGCTCTGATACACAAAGAGGGACAGCATTTCAATTTTTCTGGACAGGTTACTGAATCTGGGACTCAGTATGGAAATCCAGGTGTGTTACTTACTATATGAACCTTGTTTATGGAAGAATTACTGTAATGAGTAATAGGATAATACCTGATGTGGTTGTGGGTTTGAGGTTTTTGTTAAAGTTGTGATGATACTATCATTTCTTTACACTTGTATCTACTAATGGAATAGCATTAGTTCCTAAACTGTATTTTTCTCAAATGGTATTTACTTCACACTGTCTTTTTAAAGAATAGTGATTTTTTTTTTTTTTAAGTGCTTATTTGAGTTCCCAGTCACAAACTCATGAGACATCTGTCTTGGGGTATCTTTTTGTTTTTTGCTTATTGAAACCTTTATAATGATAGCTATTTATATCTAAGTTGAAAAACTGAATATCATGATTTTATTGAGGCCAGGTAACAAATGCCTTTCTTGTGATTTTGCTAAGGTAATAAGAATATTTAAAATTTGAAAATATGATTTTTTTCTATAATAAAAAATGTATTGGGTTTTTTCCTGCTCTCCTTACTAACTAGTATCTGTGTACGTATAACTAAGTTTTGTTCAGTCTGGTGTGTCTTCCCCAATTACACCTGATCAAAAAGTTTTTATTTTGGCTTCAAAGGATGTGTTACAAGTTAAAATTTCTCTTAAAACAAAAGTCAATTTTAGGAAAAAAAGGAATGTAAGTAACATTGACTTTTTACTAACATGCTTATTTGCAATACCAGGTAGGTATGTGCATGCTTTCCATATGCAAAGTATAAAAGTTCCTGTCATTGTCTTTTCCTAGGAAAAGACTTACAGCAGGTTTTTTTGTTTTTGTTTTTGTTTTTTGAGACAGTTTTGCACTTGTCGCCCAGACTGGAGCGCAATGGCATGATCTTGGCTCACTGCAACCTCTGCCTCCCAGGTTCCAGTTCAAACAATTCTCCTGCCTCAGCCTCCTGAGTAGCTGGGATTACAGACACATGCAACCACGCCCAGCTAATTTTTTGTATTTTTAGTAGACACAGGTTTCACTATGTCAGCCAGGCTGGTCTGGAACTCCTGACCTCAGGTGATCCACCCACCTTGGCCTCCCAAAGTGCTGGGATTACAGGCGTGAGCTATCGCACTCGGCCCAACTTGTAGCAGTTTTAACTATGCTTCCCTTTAGTTTCCTTATCAAGAAAATTTTTTTGCATAGAACCAGTAGGTGAGAATGACAAGATAATCTCTTAATATTAATAGCTTCTTTTTGTTAGGGTTATTAAGGAGGTTGATTCTTGTTCCTACTCAGGTTGTTACCCTCCAGAATAGCACTGGCTTCTCTAAAAGGTTAAATGGCATTTACGCTTTGAAAGTTTGGATGAATGAGAGTTTAATTCCTTTATTACACAAATGGCTTCAAAGAGAATTCTAAGCAAGCATTTGCTTCCAGCCGTAGTCTTTTGTTAAGAATATTAGTGATCTTTGCATACTCATAACGTGTAGTAGATGCTCAAATATTTGTTAAGCATAAAGGCTTCTTTTGAGAAAAAGGATAGAATTAGGTCAGCAGCACTGCAAAATTTCCCTGGCTTTTTCTTTTTCTGCTTGGGAAAATTTGATATTTACAGATAGTAGGCTTCTTTTTCCTACCATCTTTTTCAAAGAGGTCACGTTGACTCTGGCAACATCTTGCATAAAATTCCTTTTCCCCTTTCTAGTGAAGTGGAAGAATAAAATGTAGCAGAACTGGTGTTTCTATTGGAAAAAGTTTTCAAACCATTGTACTTAATGATTAGTAAAAATGTTTTAATTATATTTTTAAGATCTTACATGATAAAAAATTGATATAATTTTTTATATATCAAAGCTCAGAAAAGGCTGGAGTAATAAAAAATTGATATAATTTTTTATTACTCCAGCCTTTTCTGAGCTTTGATATATATTTTTTTTTAATTTGAGAAAAATAAGCAGGTTATTTCTTTGCAGGATTAACGGTATTGGCTGGTGGCATTAGTGATAACCAGCTTTTTTATATCGAGTACCTATTTTATAATAGCTACGAAAATACACTCTTTCTTCTACAAAAAGCAACTAATGTCCAAAGTTCTGAATTTTTTTTGAAGAGCTTCTGAGTTTTTCTGAAGAGCTGTGGTGTAACCCATTCTGGTTACCTGTATTTATTAATTGTTTAATAAGCAAAGAGCTGGGACCATGTTGCTTTTTACGAGAGTTAGTAGAGTATTACCATGGGAAGTGGTCACTGGCATGTTCTTCACATTGTGGACTTTTCATTATGTAAACGAACTTGGGGTTCTTCTCTTCCATGTGTTATTTTGAAACTGCAATGTGAACTAATGCAATCTGCCATTCCTGCCAGATGCTTAGACAAAAGCTCTCTTGGTAGTTGGGGAGGGACTCAACACTGGTACCTCTTTAAACCTGAAAGATGGCAGCCAAAAATTGAGTAGTTTTTAACTTACACATGATGAAGTGAACACCAAGGAAATAAAGTCGCGGAGGCCTATTTCAAACTTAAAAGAAGTATGTCGAGGTGAATAATAGAGCTCAAGATTTTGAGTCAAACTAGTTTTACCATTTAATAGATGCATGGCCTGAGGAAATCACTTAGTCCCTTTGAGAAAACTGAGCTCAATTAAATAGGAATAATACTCATCCCACAGGGTTGTAGGGAGTGAGAGTCAGGTAAAGCACCTTGACTACCTTCTGTGTCCTGTTTATCTCAGCTTTTCTGTTCTGTTTAAAAGTGTGAGCCTGCCTGTAATAGCAGTGCAGGGGTCTCATTAAATCATAGTCCATGAATGGGATTTAGAAGATTGGTTTCTTCCGACTGCCCCAGAACCCACAGGAGCAGGCAGCTGGGGGTGGGGAGTCAGCCCTGGAATAGGGGCTGTGGCAGTTTGGGGGGACCCGGCTGTGTTGGCTGTGGGGGTGACGAGTGAGTCTCAGCCTGGGCGGAAATGGAGCTCCAGGAAACTACTAAAGTTCCTGGGGAAGCAAAGTAGAATTTCATAAGAACAAAATGGATGGAGAGGAGAAAACCTATCTGTGGTGGCTGTGAAGGCACTGATGCCGTATGTTAAATTGATATCATCTGATGGCCATGAATTTATTGTAAAAGGAGAATATGCATTAACATCAGGCATGATAAAAGCCATGTTGAGTGGCCCAGGTCAGTTTGCTGAGAATGAAACCAGAGGTCAGTTTCAGAGAGATACCTTCACATGTGCTATCAAAAGTATGCATGTATTTTATGTACAAGGTTCACTACACTAACAGCTCCACCGAGATTCCCGAATTCCCAGTTGCACCTGAAATTGGACTTGAACTGCTGATGGCTGCAAACTTTTCCTAGATTGTTACATAAAATAAATTATAATAAACTGTTAAAGAAAAAAAAAGATTAAGAAGCCTTTAAAATTGTGTATTTTTCTGGGCGGAAGGTCCATGTCAACCATCAGATTTTCAAAATTTTATTTTAAAATTTAAAATCTGCTATCTGCGAAGAATGACTTTATTGGATGTCTAGGAGAGGAAGCAGTGTAAAATTGTGTGTCTAATATAACAGTTGGCAACTGCAGTTGAGTAACCTTAATAGTGATTCTGTTAATTTGAGTTCTATTTTATTGCCGCTCTACATTTTTATTTGCTCAGGGCAATTTTAAGGTGTGGTTATGGGGCATTGATTGTATCTCCAGCCCACAGAACTGCTATTAAATAAGAAAGCAAGCAGCTTTTGGGTCTCTCTTAGTTTGAATATATTATTACATGCCTTGGGCTTTAAAAACTGCTATGTAGATTAGTTTTTAAGATGAAAATCACTAGGCAGCTCATTGGAATAGGGCTTCTCCAAAGAATTCTATAGTGTTATATCTATTGTTACTATTTTATTAAGATATACTGTATATTTAAATCTCTTCGTGGTTTTGATATGTTTCAAAGTATAAAGAATTCATGTTGTGGTCTCAGGAAGGAAAAAATTGGACAGTGTCTTTGGTAATAAAGTTCAGTATTTTTTTTAATGTGAAGTGCCACACCCAGTGACATATTTTGTACAAATATAAAAAGTCTGAGGTATATGAAGTGGAAATCCTGAAAATAAAGGCAGGGAAATGGCCAGGTAGAGGCATTTGCTGTTTGATAGGAAGGGAAACTAGGTCTGCCTTTATAATACTGAATTAAATGTCATTGGATTATTTGGATTAATTTCACAAATCTTTGATTCCAAAGTAAGTTATTCTTGGCATATTTATATTGAAGTGTGTGTGTGAGAGAGAATTTTTAAGCAAAAATGATGGCTGTCCTGATATAAAGTAAGTTTTAAAACTTAGCATATTGTTTATTGAAATTCTAATCATCCTCTTAGAATTTTTTTTGGTAGAATTCCTGGGTTCCCTATTGTGATTTCATCCTAGTTTCCATAGCTTTTGCTTTACTCTGACAGTTTTACATTGAGAATAAACACTACTCAAGGTTTTAGGGGACTTAGAACTGCTGTCAGTTCCAGTATACTCAAAGCCAGAGTTCCTCTTCCTTTTGAAACTGACTGTCCTTTATAACTATCCAATTTTAGCATTTTTCTAGACTTAATCACATGACATTTGTTCTGCTCAACTTTGACTTTATTTTCAGATTACAAGCTGTTGATATTTCCCAGATCATTGGTTCCCAGTCTTTTACATTAATGCTGAATCGTATAGTTCACAGGATTACAGTCAGAAAAGTGCATGTTGCCAAATAAGAAAATGATACTATAAGGATAACTTGATGTACTTTTAATGGACAAAAGCTAAATAATAAACATCTTTTTACTGCTGCTCGTGGTCATTCACTTGGACTATGTTGCATATATTTCTTATTCTAATCTTTCTAAAACGCTGATTTTATTCCATCTATTTGCTTGATCCTTGCCAAAATTCCCTGCAAGAGGCTTTTAGCTTTAGTTTGGTCTTCTCACTGTCCTTGATAAATACTATTGCTAATTACCATCTTTATGGCCTGAGGGTTTCTGCTTCATTTCTCTGAGTTAGAACCTATTTTAATCTTGATTATCTGTCTTCCAACATCAGAGGATTGGCTCTATTCTTTCATTCTCCTTGAAAATGTTTATTTGTAAAGTACACTGAAGGAATATATGCTTAGATATATTTAGATGGCACAAATTTAAATTTTGGTGTGGGAAGAATGGTGTGCTTGGCCACCATATCAGCAGTTCTATCTTTTTTATTATGTGTATTTCCATGTAACAGGTAATTTCCTTGTTCTCTATTAATTTCCTTGTTCACTAATTCCTGTAATTATGAAAAACTTGTATCGGTAAAAGTTACTGTGCGTTAGCAGTTGTCATTGATTTAGTTTTGTGTTTTCTGGTAAGGTATAATGAGATGGAAGTAGTAGGGTAGCGTAGAATAGAGGTTTACATATTGGCAGATTTCACTAATTTTTTTTCTATTGCCATTCTTTTTATTTTACACTAATGTGGATTTTTAGACACCAAAGCAACATGGATATATATAGCTGACTTGATATCAGTCAGATCATTTTGTTAACACCTGCCCTTTTATTTATGTTGGATAGGTTATTTAAAAAGTTTCATCATGTAAGCTCTTGTGGATTTCTATTGACAGAATTTGTTGTGAGCCTTCCTTTCTCCCACAAATAAAAAATGTGCTTACAGTGGTAATAGGTAAAAGAATATAAGGATAGTTTCAGCCAAGTATTAATCCATAGAGTTAAGCAGACCAATATAAAGATTTCCTTAATGGGTTGGCCTGTATGCATGTGTTGAACTTTAAAATCTAAGAAAGATTATTGCATTAAGTTTGCAGGGAGTCCCCAGTTTTTGTTGTATTCCTATTTTATTTGGGTTATCTAATGAGTTGGGAAGTTAGAAACATTTTTTGTTTTTTGTCGTCATTGTTTTTTTGTTTTTTTCTGAGACAGGAGTCTCTCCCTGTCGTCCAGTGGCAAGATCTCACCTCACTGCAACCTCCATGTCCCAGGTTTAAGTGATTCTCCCTCCCCAACCTCCCAAGTAGCTGGGACTACAGGGGCCACCACCATGCCCGGCTAACTTTTCTATTTTTAGTGGAGATGGGGTTTCGCCATGTTGGCCAGGCTGGTCTTGAACTCCTGACCTCAGGTGATCTGCCTACCTCGGCCTCCCAAAGTGCTGGGTTTATAGGCATGAGCCACCATGCCTGGCCCCGAAACGTTTTTTTAGTGGCACTTAATTTCTAACTTGCAAACAATTTTTGAGATCTAGAGGTTTTAAAAATTAGTGTTATTACCAAGAAACCCAGTGGTGACAGAATGTTTCTCATCTAAGTGGTTAATTACAACTGCTTTTCTCAGAAAGACCTATTGTTGATTCAAGACTGAACATTCAGCTCATAATTTTTTTGCTCCTTAAAACGTAATAAACATTGCCCAGAGTTTAGAATGACATACTTGGACCACATTCAACCAAGAGACACTTGATGAAAATATTATGCAAAATACCTATTTAAAATGTGATTCTGTGGAATTGACAGTTGAGGGTAGTATTATAGGCAAGCTGTAGTCCTGGCCTAGAACAAGCAAGTTCTCAGTTCAACAATTTGATGAGTCCTTTAGCACTATTTGGAAGATGTTTGGAAATAAGACATAGCAAGTAATCTGCTTTTTGTAAGAGTAATGACTTTCTTGCCGGTTTCCCTTTGATTGTTGCCATCTAATGGAGGACTATCATCAGGCTCTTTTTCTTTAATTGGAGCAGAGATGAAACTTTAAGCATATTCCTGTGTAACATTTCTAAAAGTAAAGGATGCTAAAGTGTGTACTGCCTACTTTAAGAGAGGTGATATAACTTAGCACGGGCCATGCAGACTTTATGAATTTTGGATTCACTGTGTGATTTGGGACAAGTTTTACTGAATTTCTCTGTGACTGTTTCCACATCTTCAAAATGGGAGTGATACTATCTACCTCTAGGATGTTTTGGGGAAATTGTTTAGTTAATACACCCCGTGGTGGTCTTAAATAACAAATACACTGCTTACCTTTTGTACATCTGTGACATCACTTTGTTGTGGTTTGATTTATAAAGTTTGGATTAAATTTAAGAGAACTTTAAAAAGCTGAAAATTTTTTTATTTAATATTTGATGACTTGCTATTTTATAAGCCCTGTGATTTACAAAAATAAATGTAAAAGCCCCTGCTATTCAGTCTGGAGAGGGAAATAGACGTGTACATATAATAAAGAGGGAACAGTACTGCAAATTCATTGAACATGGAAAAGCTGGTCTTTAGCCTTTTTTAAAAAGGGGTTGATAAATATAGTCCCCTGATGGAGTTTATCCATAATACATAGAGTGCACATACGTATAAGCTAAAAAGTCCTATGAAAAATGAGGCGTTTTAAACACCACCACCAACAAAAAGCATTGTGATGGAAATACTGGTAAATTGGGCCTTGGTTTGTGGGAAACTTTAGCCCAGGCCAGGATCCTAGGGGAGGGGAGAAGAGGAAAGCCCTCAGTGAGAGTGTCAATGATTTTTAAGTTTACACTTAAAACTGCTCATTAGGGGGATGGGGAGATTGGGAAGGGATAACATGGGGAGAGATGCCAGATATAGGTGACCGGTGGTGGGGGGCGGGTGGAGGCAGCAAACCACCTTGCCATCTATGTACCTGTGCAACAATCCTGCATGATCTGCACATGTACCCTAGAAGTACAATTAAGAAAAAAAAAACTGCTCATTAAGTTATTTTTTGATACTTGTTAATATTTGACTTTTGATCTTTAGGAGTAACATTTCAAATTTGTTTTCAGATGTTCTTAAAACTGATTTCCTTCTAGGATTATTTTGCTAGCATTCATGATCTGGAGGGAGACACTTCTCTGAAACTGATTTAATGTAGCAGTTTTTATTCCTGCTTCTTGCTAGCCCTTTCACCCGATTGATTTTTCAAAAAACAGAACATTTTAGAACAGCCTGGGGATTTCTGTCAGCAGTTGTTTAGTGCAGACATCCTTTGGGTTAAAAACCAGGGAGCAGCTACTCTTTTAACAGGAATTATATCTAATAATAAAACTTTAGGCTGGCTTTAACAGTTCTTAAACATCAGGGATAATATACTTTCTTTGTCAGATTTCTTTTTGATTTAAAAAATACAGATTTGCCATCTATTATTAATGGAAAAATGCATTCAGTTAAGTGATGGGGCACAAACAACTCTATTCCTTTTAATATATGACCTTATTCATAGAACATCTGTTCATAGCTTAAAATCTTACTCTCTTAGGCCACATTGCATAGAAAGATAAGAATTGAAAGTCAAAATGTCTACAAATACTTGATAAATTAGTTCTTGACACCACCTGATTATTAGCATTTTTGGTGTAGCACTTTTCTGATTGGTTGATTGAAAGCAAGTGAGGAAGTTGCAAATCAGAGAAGAATGGAAGTCACTCTGGCCACAAGAGGGAGTAAAAGACTAATTTTCAAATCTATGGGCCCCTAATGTGTGACAGATTAATGACTTGCATGCTTTCTTTTTAAAATTTTAAGAGGCCTAGGAATTATAAAAGGCCCAGTGTTTGTACAGAATAACAATTACAGGAAAATTATCTCGGCATAAGAGAATTGTACAAGACTAGAAATTTGAACTACATTATGCTGGAGAGTTGGAATTAAATTTCCTATTGATGATGACATTTGTGGGATATTTTTGTGAGCTTTTAAATTGAATAACACAAGCTGGGAGTTTTATAATTTATAGAAATGTGTTTAAGTACACAAAAATTTCATAAGAGTCATTGAATTTTAGGGTTGAAGGGACATCTAGTGTAGCCTTTTTATTTTAACAGATCAAGAGACTACACCTCAGAGGTTCAGCTGTTTACATGAGGTCAGACAGTAAGCATTAGTTATCTTAATGTAGCATCACCTTATTGTAGATTGAAACATGACATTTACTCTGCTATCAAAATACTTGGTTTGTGGGGGTGGGACATGAGGAGTCATAATAACAATTTCATTAAAAACAGTGGTTTTTGTTTTAGACTATGTTTTAGAGTCCTGTACTTTATGAGAATCACTTTTGAGGGCTCTTGTGCCTCAATTACTTGCTACTTCAACCTTTTAACTTCTGGTGTTGTGTATGCTTTGTATGAAAGCAGGCATATCTGTGTCCCAATCTCTCTGTTTGTTGTAGTGAATGAGAACCATGGCAGTACAATCTAAAACAGAGGAATGGGTTATAGAGGTTTGATCTTTCTCCCACTCACATATTTGGTGAGATCACATCAAAGTTAGCCCAACTGTGTTCACAAATTTCAATTCATAAATGTCTCATTGGAGGTTGATTATTTTGCTTTAATATTCTGGGGGTATTTGCGAATGACACTTAATGTCTAATTATCTTTGCGCAAATTAAATGTAATATTATGACCAGTTGGTGAAATACTCTCAAGACAAGATGAAAACTTTCTCTCTACCGCTCAATATTTGTTTACAAATGTATCATTGTTTTTGTACCATTTCTCTCCTAAATAAAAAAGTAATACCAGCCATATAAGGAAATTTGAAAAAAAAAAGTGTAAAAAGGGTATGAGAAAGGGTATCTTTCAGAAATAAAGACAATTAAAAAGGGACTCTTTAAAATTTATTAACTTTTCATTTTGAAATAATTTCAGATTTAGAAGTTGGAAAATAGTATGAAGAGTTTTTCATATATTTTGTCCAAATGTTAATGTTATAACCACAGTATAATTATTAAAATCAAGAAGTTGATAAAAATAAATGATAAACTATTATATAACCTATAAATCTTAATTAAATTTAACAGATTGTTTTACTGTAATATCCTATTTCTGCTCCAGAATCCATCCAGAATCACAGTTTTCGTTTTGCTTACATGCCTTCTTACTCTCCTTTAACCTGGATCAGGATTTTTAGTCTTTGCCTTTAATGATTTTGGCACTTACCTTTTTTCCCTTTTTTTCATGTTTTAAAAGAGGGACATTGTTTTATTATTATCTGCAGGTGGGGCCTGCATGAGGTGTTTGGTGTGCTGGGCTCAGGGCATAATGTGTGGGCTGTGGAGATGATGACAGAAAGGCTGGAAGGAAATGGGGTGGATTTGAAGGCCAGGCCTAAGGGGTCCTCAGGTCCACTTCTGGGAAGGGACAGCCTTGAGGAAGGAGTCGTGGCAAGCCGTAGCTAGGCCACCAATCACATTAAGAAATTCTGAGAAATCTAGCTGCCCGTCACTGTTGGTGTCCAGTTTCTTCATCATGCGGTCAAGGACATCGGGGTCCTCCTGGTTCTTTGTGAAGGCAGCCAGTTCTGTATTCATGAAGCTTAGGAACTCCGTCTTGGAGAGAGTGTAGTTATAACCATCCTTTCCAGCATACTTCTGGAAAACGGCAATCAGGGACTCGATGCACCGCTCAGTCTCTGTAGGGCTGTAGATTTTTGCCATGTTGGAGCTAAGCAAGGCGTGCAGGAGGCTGTGGCTGGGAGCAGCGTGTGGGTCTCGATTTTGGCACTTTTTCAAGAGTACTGGCTGGTTATTTTGTAGAATGTCTCTTAGCTTCGATTTGTCTGGGTGGGTGGGTGTGTGTTTAAGATGGAGTGTAGTGGCATGATCCTGGCTCACTTTGCAACCTCTGACTCCCAGGTTGCGATTCTCCTTCCTCAGCGTCCTGAGTAGCTGGGATTACAGGTGCCTGCCACCATGCCTGGCTAATTTTTGTATTTTTAGTAGAGACGGGGTTTCACCATGTTGGCCAGGCTGATCTCAAACTCCTGACCTCAAATGGTCTGCCTGCCTTGGCCTCCCAAGGCGTGAGCCACTGCGCCTGGCCTGTCTGGTGATTCTTCATGATTAGATTGTGAGTTTTTGGTGAGAATTCCTGGAAGTGATATGGTGTCACCCTCAGTGTATTTTTTTTTTTTTTTTTTTTTTTGAGATGGAGTTTCACTCTTTTTACCCAGGCTGGAGTGCAATGGCATGATCTCGGCTCACCGCAACCTCCACCTCCTGGGTTCAGGCAATTCTCCTGCCTCAGCCTCCTGAGTAGCTGGGACTACAGGCACGCGCCACCATGCCCAGCTAATGTTTTGTATTTTTAGTGGAGACGGGGTTTCACCATGTTGACCAGGATGGTCTCGATCTCTTGACCTCGTGATCCACCCGCCTCGGCCTCCCAAAGTGCTGGGATTACAGGCGTGAGCCACCGCGCCCGGCCACCCTCAGTGTATTGTATTAGGAGGCTCATGGTGTTGTCCTGTTACTTAACCAAGTATATTTAGATGGTGCATTATGTTGAATTTAAACAGCTGTTAGGACTTCTGAACACACCCCATGGTGCAAAGTACCCATCGATTTTTTTTTTTTTTTTAAGATATATGCCCTATAATTATGATTACTTTGTCAGAGGTTACAAATGAAATTACTTTGCCAAAGTGCTTTTTAAATAAGCTATGTCCATTCATACTGAATAGGTTGCTTCTTCAAAGGGGAAAAATGATCCCAGCTCTGTAATTTGTAATTTTCCTTTCAAATTTATTTTCATTTGTTTACCTTCTTGTTCTAGTTGGCAAGTTTGAGTGTACAGTGGCAGGGTGGCCATTCTTCAAGGCTGAGGTAAACGTGCAAATACTTAATGATTGAGTTCTTGCTCATAATTTTGGGGTTTGGTCTAAGGACCTTTAGTCTATAAATCCTCTGATTCCCTTTTAAGAAAAAAACCAATCTTGAATTTAAAGAAATATAAAGGGATAGTTAGTGGTGGGGTGGGAAATTGATTACATTAGAGGAGATTTCCTGGCATTGGAAGGGAGGTTTTTAATGCTATAGTGAAACACAAGAAGATTGGGGTGAAAAGGAAACTGGTCATAATTTTGTATTCGAAATGCCTGTCAAGTCTCTGAGTTTGCAGAATTAGTACCATAATCTAGGATTCTTGACTTCTAAACAAAGTTTACTCTGCCTTACAACCTCACACTCTTCCAGCTCTCTCCACAGGGTATTTCTTAGGTTCCTCTGTGTTCATTACATAGAAACCTGGAGCTTATCCATATTTGGAGGTACTTAGCCTGCCCCTTTGCTACTGTTTCTAAATATATATGTTTAGTTCAGCACTCGCTTGTTATACTAAATGAGCAATTTCTTAGGTTTTTAGAGAAGTAGAACATTGTTTTGTCTCTTACAACAGAATATTCATTATGGAACATAGTGTCAACCTCAATTTCTGTCAGGTTTTTTGGTAAGGTGATACACTTTTGATAATGAAGACTTTCTGAAAAATAGTTTTGCTTGTTTGCTTGTTTTTTTGAGATGGAGTCTCACACTGTCACAGGCTGTAGTGCAGTGGTACGATATCGACTCACTGCAATTTCTGCCTCCTGGGTTAAAGCAATTCACCTGCCTCAGCATCCCAAGTAGCCGGGACCACAGGTGTGCACCACCACACCCAGCTAATTTTTTTTTTTTTTGTATTTTTAGTAGAGACAGGGTTTCACCATGTTGGCTAGGATGGTCTCAATCTCCTGACCTCGTGATCCGCCCACCTCGGCCTCCCAAAGTGCTGGGATTACAGGCGTGAGTCACTGTGCCCGGCCCTGAAAAATAGTTTTTAGGATTTGAGCTAGTAAAATGTCCTCCAAGACCATTTTAAAATTTGTTTTATTTAAATGAAGCTATTAAAGTTACACATTATTCAGTGGGGAATTTAATATTTTTGAGTGCTTAAAATGTGTAGAACATGCCTTTAATAGAGCCTGTATAAGTAGGTTAAGAATATATATGTGTGAAAAGTTAAAGGTGCAAAACCATAATTGTTTATTTTACTTATCTATTTTGAGATGGAGGCTCACTCGCTGGAGTGCAGTGGTGCAATCTTGGCTCACTGCAACCTCTGCCTCCTGGGTTCATTCAAGTAGTTTTTTTGCCTCAGCTTCCTGAATAGCTGGACTTAGCTGTGTACTGCCATGCCCGACTGATTTTTGTATTTTTTTTTCCTAGTAGAGATGGGGTGTCACCACGTTGGCCAGGCTAGTAATCTTTATTTTTAATTGTACTTGCTCTGAATAAGAATGTAGGTGTTACAGAGCATAGCATGTAGAGGGAAAAAATAAAGCTGCTGGGACCTCATCCTGCCTTCTCAGAGGCAATCTCTGTTAAGTCTTTTGTGTATCCCGGGAATTTATATGCAAAGCAAACAATTATATCCTCAAAGAATAAGGATCATATACTCAATTTTATAAATTGGACTCACATACATACTTTGACAATCTTACGCTTCATGTTGGCAGGTGCCACCTCACTCTTTTTTTTTTTTTTTTTTTTTTTGAGGTGGAGTCTTGCGCTGTCACCCAGGCTGGAGTGCAAATGGTGCGATTTCAGGCCACTGCAACCTCCACCTCCTGGGTTCAAGTGATTCTCCTGCCTCAGCCTCCCAAGTAGTGGGGATTATAGGTGCCTGTTAGTACACCCAGCTAATTTTTGTATTTTTAGTAGAGACAGGGTTTCACCATGTTGCTCAGGCTGATCTTGAACTCCTGACTTCAAGTAATCCACCCACCTTGGCCTCCCAAAGTGTTGGGATCACAGGCATGAACCACTGCAACCTGCCAGTACCTCCTCATTCTTAATGTCTGTATAGTATTCTATTATTTGGGCATGTAACAACTTAGACTATTTGTTTTCTTTTTCTTTTTCTTTTTTTTTAGAGGTAGGGTCTCCCTCTGTCACCCAGGTTGGAGTGCAGTGGTGCACTCACTGCAGCCTTAACGTTCTGGGCTCAAGTGATCCTCCCACCTCAGCCTTTGGAGTGGCTAGGACTATAAGCGTAAAAATCTACCCTACTACCACACTAGGCTAAATTTTTAAATCGTTTTTAGTAGAGACATGAGATCTTGCTGTATTGCTTAGGCTGGTCACCAATTCCTGGCCTCCAGCAGCCCTCCCATCTCAGCTTTCCAAAGTGATTGTGATTAAAGGTATAAGCTACCACACCTGGCCATTAGTCCCTTGTTAACAGAAATTAGGATATTTACCTTTTTTCCCTCTTTAAATTAAAAAGCTCTATGCTACACACTAGCTGTACAGACAGTGTAGATGAAGCTGAATTGCTTTAAAGAATTCGCTTTAGGGAGAACATAGCATTAGAGCTAGAAATAGAAAGGTATTTAGCACAGATTTTTTTAATTTTTCCAGCTTTATTGAGGCATGGTTGGCAAAAAACAAATGTATGTAAGGTGTACAACATAGCAGAGGTTACTTTAAGTTAACAGTTCTTAAAGTGATATGCCGACCATTGGGAATCCATTGGGGAGGTGTCTGTTAGGTTACAAGTATTTTCTTTTTTTCTTTTGAGATGAAGTCTTGCTTGTCACCCAGGCTGGAGTGCAGTAGCGTGATCTTGGCTCACTGCAACCTCTGTGCCTCCCAGGTTCGAGAGATTCTCCTGCCTCAGCCTCCCTAGTAGCAGGAATTACAGGTGCACACCACCACACCCAGCTAATTTTTGTATTTTTAGTAGAGATGGGATTTAACCATCTTGGCCAGGCTGGTCTTAAGCTCCTGACCTCGTGTTCCACCCACCTTGGCCTCCCAAAGTTCTGGGATTACAGGCTTGAGCCACCGCGTCCAGCCGGGTCACAACTATTTTCCTGACAAATACTGTTATTATTGATTCTTACTACTGTGTTGACATTTAGCACTGGTGCAAAAGCAAGAAGAGCTCAAACTACTACCACTAATCAAGGCAGTGGTACTATATTGTACTAGTGGTTATTGTATTTCTTCACCATTACGTATGTACTCACTGTTTCTTTAAAAAAAAAAAAAAAAGACTGGTTTTTCTTAATGTCCTTGAATCTGAAACATTATTTTATTAATAGCCCTTAAATAGACATCCTTCTGTGAGGCAAAATGGGAAATACAATGGTTATCTCTAAGAAAAGCACTTGCAGTTATTTGCATTGTGAAATAAGCTAGTTGCTTTTCTTTTTTTCATGAACACTTTTGTCTTCAAAGAACTGCAGGCTGATAAGCTGTGACTACTCAGACTTAGGTATTCAACATACATCTTAAATGAATCGAGCCTGTCATTTTAAGGGAAAATGGTATTTTTGACAAAGAAAATTGAAGCTTTGGAGCAAAATTGAGAACTTTGGAAAATAATTATTCACCACCATGATACTAGTTTTCCACTTTTTTATGACTATAAAGAGGTCTTGAGACAAACTTTTAGGCCATAAATTATTGCTACCATTTAGGGTTTTTTCCCCCCCTAGAAAATGTGCCTATTTTTAGAGACATAATTTAAGGTAATATTATTTAAATATAAGGAAATTAGGTCATATAAGAGGGAGTTCAGAACTAAGGTGGTTTCTGGGTGGGTTAAGATCAATTACTGCAGTGCAAGCAGTACTTAAAGTCTAATGTCTTTCACATAAGGCTTTTACCTTCCAAAAGGATGGCAGCACTTCTTGGTTGCTTACTATGTCCCAGACTCTGCTAAATGCTTACTATATATTAATTCACTTAATCCTTACAACAACCTTGTGTATTATGTCTACTCCTAATGTTCAGCTTTTACAGATGAGAATCCTGAGGCCCAGGAAGATTTCAGAGCTTTGTCAGGGTGACAAAGTTTGAATTTAGACATTAAGCAGTCTGTCTCCATAGTTTGTGCTCATAACAAGTCTCTTGTTTAAAAAGAGAAAATAAGTACTAAAGAAAATGTTTTTTAATCTTTTGTTCTTTGATGTGTCTTAATCCTACATTTTTAAATGAAAGCTTTTTTGCATCTTATTTCACCATTTTTCCTAGGTATACAAATTTTAGATTACCAAAGCCAAAATGATGTACTTAAGAGCACAGGAGCACTAAAGCAGTTTTTTGAATGTCAGACTCTCCATACTTTATACATGTAACTGAGCAACCAGTGAGTAGAGTGCCTGCTCTGAGTTGGGAGCTGTGATTGGTGCCTTCCTATTTATATGCTCATTTAGACTTCATAACAGCCTTTTGATATAGATTTTCATATAGATGAGAAAATAAAAATTAGCTATTGTGTAAATTCTCAAAATTAATGGGTTAAGGTGGAATTCCAAGTCTGCCTGGTTTTAGAGTTTATACGATTTGCGTTACACCAAGCTCTTATTCTAAGAAGTGTTGAATGCCCAATTAAAGTCTTGCCACCAGCTCAGGCAGCAGTTTTGGTGGTTCAGGATAATCATACTGAAAGACCAATGAGAAAGGCATATCTCTAGAATAGAGATGGATTCTCAGTTCATTAACTTTTCATAAAAAATATTTGACCACAGTCAGGAGTGAGTGTTTTTAAAAATTTGTATTAGTTGGAACAGGTTGAGTCTATCCCAAGAA